TTGATGGCAACCACATTGGTCTACTGGTGAGTGGAAGAGGGGAAGAAGCAGCAATGAATAAATGGGCTGAGTTCAACTACAATTCATAGACTCTCGTTGATCTGGAGATGAGAGAGAGAAGAGGAAGGGCTGGTTGGTCCAAAGTGTGGGACACCTGAGCCCATGGACAAGGACATAGCCACAGAGGCTAGAGCTAAGATGAAGCATCCAGCTGATATGAAGTGAGGAGAGATGTACAAGAACACCCAGACTTGCAGATAGTACCCATTTGACCTAGCCTCGCTGGCTTGATAATCAGAACTCGACTAGAGGAAGATAAAAAATTTAAAAAGCAATTTTTGATAAAGGAAGTGAGGGTAAATTGCTACAATTTGATGAACTTTTACTACTCATGGAAGTAGTAACTCTAAATACCAACAGAGACAGAAGGAGTCTTCACATCAAGTATCAATGCTATCCCATCTGTCCACAGGGTAGATAGGGACGGGCAACTTAGATATTGCTACCTAAAATGAGGAGGTGATAAAGGCATGAAGTGACCAGCTTACAAGGTTTCAAGAGGGACTTTAGTTTAAGAGTGTGGGGTGGAGGGGGGAAAGAGTCCCAACTGAATACTTTTCATCTTGCCTAGATGGGTCTAGTTAAAAGAGATGGGGATAAGATTCTTATGATTCAATAGTGCATAATTATTATCATGAGTAATTGATACTGTCACAGTTGTAAAGGTAGACGTTTTGTAACAAAAACAGAGGAGTGAAAAGAGGGAACAAATCTTCACAATGAGGATCACTGCCACCCCCTCCACACAAGGAGAGGACAGGGGTGGGCAACTTGGACATTGGCTACCCAGAATGGGGAGGTTACAGAGGCAAGAAGTGACTGGCTTGCAAGCTTTCAAGAGGGAACCTAGATCCAGAGGGCATGGAGCAAGGTAGAGTCTTCATTGAGTAGTATCTAATCTGCCTAGGCAGGGCCAAGGAAAGGAGAAGCTGATAGATCTCTTGTGATACAACAGTGAATAATTGTTATCAGGACGGATTGTAAGGGCTGGAAATGTAATGGTAGGCATTTTGTAGCAAAGGGAGGGAAGGGATTAACTTTGCAGTCTAGGAGCGGAGGTCTCTGGCACCATCAATGGAGAAGAGTGGAGAACGGAACCCTACCCATAGAAGCAGCGATGCCAGAGATGGAGGCAGAGACGATGATGTGGAAAGATGGAGCAGCTGGGGACTTTGGACCGGGAGAGGGAGAGGGCCTGTGTGCTGATGACTGGGGGGCAGGCTTGTGGGGTATACCCTGTGGTTGGTGCATGATGCATGGAGGGGATTGTAACCATGGCAAGGAAACGATATACTATGGGATCAATGTGAAGCTAATGTTCTCCCATGTAAACTATCACATAACTCAAAATAAAGCATCCTATATGTTTCAGTTAAAAACAAAAAAATGGAGGACTAATTAATCTTACAGTCCAGAAACTAAGGACCCTAGGACCATTAAGGGAGAAGAACACAAGCGGAATGCGAGACCTTATCCAGAGAAGCAGCGACACCAGAGATGGAGGCAGAGATGGAGACATGGAGAGAGGGAACAGCTGAGGACTCTATAGACTCATGGAAAGAGAGGGACTAAGAGCTGGCAGCCAGGAGGCAGACTTGCAAAATGTGTCCTTTGATGGTGTAAATTATTATATATGCCTGAGTGTTAAAAAAAAAAAAAAAAAGAGCTCAAGCGAATAGAGAGAAATACTGTTATCAGATGGTACATGGTGGGGATTATAATCATTGTAATGAAACAAGGTATATGATTTGTTGAATGTAAAACTGATGATCTGCCCTGTAAACTTTCACTCTATTCACAATAAAAACTTTAAAAAAAAGAAAGAAAGAAAGAAGATGGAATGAATATACAAGAGTCTCTGTACCAAAAAGAAATGTTCGATATTCAACCATTTTGAGAGGTAGCATATGATTAAGGGCCAGTAGTATTGAAGGAAGAAGCCCAAGGTCATTGATGGCATTGGCAAAGAGCAAAGCTCTGGGAATTGATGGAACACAAATTGAAATCTTTCAACAAATTGATACAGCACTAGAGGCACTCACTCATCTATGCTAAGAAATGTGAAAGACAGCTAACTGAAAATAATTTGAACAGATCTATATGTGTGCCCATTCCAAAGACAGGTGACCCAACAGAATGTGGAAATCATTGGAAATGTTATTAATAGCATTTTTTGGTAAAGATAATTCAGGAAAGGCTGCAACAGTACATTAACATGGCACTGCCAGAGGTTCAAGTCACATCCAGATGAGGACGTGGAACTAGGGATAAGGTTGCTGATGTCAGATGGACCTTGGCTGAAAGCAGAGCATACCAGAAAGGTGTATACCTGTGCTTTATTGACTATGCAATGGCTTTCTAACATGTGGATTATAACAATATTTGTACAACATTGCAGAGAATGAGTATTCCGGAACACTTAATTGTGCTCATGAGAAACCTGTGCATAATCCAAGAGGCAGTTGTTCGAACGAAACAAAGGGACACTGAATGATTTAAAATTAGGAAAGGTTATATTCTTTCAGGGTACTTATTCAATATGTAAGGAGCTCTGGTAGCTTAGTGGTTATGAATTGAGCTGCTAATCCCACTGTCCGAAGTTCGAAACTACCAGCTGTTCCGTGGGAGAAAGATGAGGCTTTCTGCTCCAGTAAAGATTTCCAGCCTTGGAAACCCTGTACAGGATCTCAATGAGTCGGAACCGACTCCAAGGCACATAAGAACAACAACATTCAATATGTACACTGAGCAAATAATCCGAGAAGGTAGATTATATGAAGAAGAACATGGCATCAGGATTAAAGAAGATATATTTACAACTTGATATGCAGATCATACAAGCTTGCTTGGTGAAAATGAAGACAACTTAAAATACTTACTGATGAATATCAAAGACTTCAGTATAGGTTGCACCTCAGTATAAAGAAAACAAAAATCCTTACCACTGGATCAATAAATGACATCATAATAAATGGAAAAATGATTGAAGTTGTCAAAAACTTCATTTTGTTTGGATCCACTATCAACACTCATAGAAACAGCAGTCAAGAAATCAGATGACATATTGTATTAGGTAGATCTGCTCAGAATGTGTTCAAGAGAAAAGATTCCGTTTGAAGACGAAGCCATAGTATTCTCAGTATCTTCATATGCAAGTGAAACTTCGACAGTGAATAAGGAAGACTGTAGAAGAATTGATACATTTTGGAGAAGAATGTTAAAAGTACTATGGGCTGTAGGACCATCAAGGGAGAAGAGCACATGCAGAATGTGGGACCCTATCCAGAGAAGTAGTGACACCAGAGATGGAGACAGAATTGAGGACATGGAAAAGGGGGAGCATCTGAGGACTCTAGACTCATGGAAAGAGAAAGGCTGTGTGCTGGAGGCCAGATGCTGGTGACCAGGAGGCAGACTTGCAGAATGCGCCCTTTGGTTGTTTAAATGATTATATATTCCAGAGTGTCTTTGTGTACAACCTCCTCTCCCCACCCACCCCCAAAAACAAAAAACAACAGAATAGAAACAAATACTGTTGAGTGATGATGCATAGAGGAGGTTGTAATCATTGCAATGAAACAATGAGTGTAAAACCGATGTTCTCCCATGTAAACTATCACTCAAATTACAATAAAAACTTAAAAAAAAAAAAGTACTGTGGGCTGCTAGAACAAACAAATGTGTGTTGAAAGAAGAACAATCAGAATGCTCCTTGAAAGCCAGGATGGTGAGTCTTCGTCTCTTATACTTAAGACATATTACCAGGGGGGACTAATCACAGGAGAAGGAAATCATTCTAGGCAAAAAGGAGGGTCATTGAAAAAGAGGAAGAACCCCAATGAGATGAGTTAGCATAGTGGCAGCAGCAATAGGCTCAAGCTTAACAACCACTATGAGGATAGCACAGGACCAGACAGCAGTGTTTCGTTCTGTTGTGCATAAAGTTGCTATGAGTCAGAACCAACTCAGAGGTACCTCACAACAACAATATTATTCTCATGCATCACACTGTTTTGTTTTTTTGTTTTGCATGGTGCTTATTAGCAAGCTCATCCAGAGCCTTAGGAGTATAGTGATTAAACTCCCTTTGGGTATCCAAAAGGTTAAATACATCAACCCTCCCAACCACTCTACTGGAGAAAGATTTGGCAGTCTGTTTTGTATAGACACAGTCTTGGAAAACCATGGGGGTGGTTCTACTGTGTCCTCTTAGGGTTGCTCTGAGTCCGAATCCACTCAACAGCAATGGATTAGGTTTGGGTTTGGATATTAGCAATCGATAAGAGCCCGGTGCACAGCAGGTGCCTTTTACACCCTCAAGGCTTGGCATAGAATCTGTACTTTTCCTCTTAGTTTAGATATACATGGAAACACTCATGACTTCAGTGAACTCTTATGTACAGTAGCCCAGATAAGGTTGGAGCCAAAAAGCCACTTCTTAGAGGATGAAACATGTTTGTTTGTCATACAACTCACTTTAAATATGAGCAAGACTTTTGCTTCTTAAGGTTTAAGTAGGTTATGTGATTCATGAGTATTAGAGAAAGCTTATCTTAAGTAGGCACAGAATTGGGAAGAGTCTTGCTATTGATGAATACATTTAATGTAATAGGCTTTTCCCCACTTTTTTTTTTTTTTTTAATGATGGTGCATCTTAGAATCACTGACATCATAGACTAAAGGATACACAGAGAATGGCCCATTTGGATACTAACTATATGCAGAGTTTATCCACATGCTGTTGGAATCCTGTCTCATTTCCGTATATGCTGACTGCAGTTACTGACTACGCTGCCCAGTGGCCCTCCTGTTCCCTTAGTGAGGTTATCTCTGCATTGCATTGCCTTGTGTTGCTGTAGATGGGTGGGTAACCATGGTTGTTAACTTGGGGAATGAGGGCAGATGTGCATGCTATACTGACTGTTCTTCTCTTGTTTCAGTGCACGAGGGCAGTCCTCTGGGTGAACTCCATCGTTGTATCCGGGAGGGGGTGAAAGTGAATGTTCACATCCGCACTTTCAAGGGACTTCGGGGCGTCTGCACAGGCTTCCTTGTGGCATTTGACAAATTCTGGAATATGGTAATTAAGCCTTTCTCAAGGAGCTAGAGAACCCCTTAGGGACTAAATATTTTCTCTATGTAAAGGACTTCAGTAAACTTGTTCAGCAGAACTAGGGAATAACTTCCCAGAACCAGAATCCTTGTGAAAGATTCCCTGGGTCATTTACTGTGTGTGGACACATTGTGCTCCTCCTGACTTGGGGCCAGGGGTTACTGCTAAACACCCTGCAGTACACAACAAAGAATGATCCTGTTTGAAATCCATCATTAGTGCCAAGGTTGAGAAACAGCCTTACGTGGCAATTATTTGTATCTGTTTAGTAATTTTATGTTGATTTCCACCAACCATTCTGTCATTCATTTATATTTAGTGGTGGTTCACTTTGGACACTGTGCTAAGTACAGAAGTGTCAGAGAGGAGTGAAATAGGATTTTCTCATCAGGAAATGTTCACTCTCATCTTTGGGGACATAGGTAGGGACAGGAATGAAGCAGACATACAGGTTCATGAGCAGGCTCTGTGCACGGTGTTCCTTGTGAAGGAGTGCACCATGCATCACTAGAGGTTTACTGTCTGGTTCCTAGGCAGTTGTAGGAGAGAAGAGGCAAATCATAGCCCAGTGTACTGCTAATCAGTGACAATAGGATCCAAAAGAGCTTTGTATGGTTTCTTTTCCATATGACCTTCTATCTCCAACTTTACTTTTCCCTGTGCTTTATCCCTATCACAGTAGTTTATGAGGATTCATGCTGCCCATTTGCTATGTGCCAGATACTGTATTAACAGCTTTATGTATATTACCTCAGTGGAAGAGTTGTAGCTACAATTGCAGTTGTTCCACTTTACAAATGAAGACATTGAGGCTAGAGCGATTAGAAGATTGGTTTCAGATCACACTGTTAAGAAGTAGAAATACCAGGATGTTATCCTGGGTCTTTCTGACTCCAGACATCAGTTCTCCATCACTCTGGAAGCAAAAAGCCTGGATTTGAGTCCTCAGTGTACCCCTTGGTAGCTGTATGACTCTAGGCAAGGTAATTTCTCTGAACTTCAGCTTTATTTCTAAAATGTAGAAAAAATATTTTACTTTTATAGGCAAAAGGAGCTCTGGTAGTGTTGTAGATTATAGGCTGGGCTGCTAACCACAAGGTCAACATTTCACATTTACCAGCTGCTCCTCTGGAGAAAGATGAGGCTTCTGCTCCCATAAAGATTTATAGCCTCAGAAACCGTATACAGGGTCAAACCAACTCCATGGCACAAAACCATCACTACCATTGTAGGGAAAGACCTTAGAGAATGCATTAGATGAAACTGTGGCAATAACAATAATGATATTGTGACCTTGCATTTGTAGACTGTGTTAAAGCTTTCCAAGCAGTTTCTCTGTGACTTCACTTGATGTGAGGCCTGTCCCTCAGGGAAGTGAGCTCAGTGATAACTCTGCAGAGCCCCAGTTTCTGTCTCTCAGTTGCTGATATAAGACATGTCACTGAGGAGGGAGAAGGAGCAGTGGAGCAGTGTTTCTCAAAGTGTGGTCTCAGGCCAGCCTCCATCCAAATCACCTGGGATTTCTGGTTACAACAGAAGCTTCCTGAGCTCCATCCCAGACTACTGAATCAGAATCTCTAGAGTAGCCTTGAAATTTGCATGTAGATTTGCTTCCTAGATATGTAATGCATCCTGAAATATAAGTACGTCCTCAACCACAGGTCAGTTTGAATCACAAGGTCGGTGGTCACCACTCACTCCTTGTAAACCCTGTACAGGGTTCCTTTGAGTCGGAACTGACTTGATGGCACATACTAACACCAGCAGCAACTAGGCAGTTGTGGAGTCCCTGGGTGACACAAACATTTAAGCTCCTAACCAAAGGCTGACAGTTCACACCTCCCAAAGAGACACCTTGGAGGAATAAAGGCCTAATGATCTGCTTCCAAAAGGTTACAATTCTATGTAGCAAACTTCTACACTGAAATACACGAGTCAAGTAGAATCCACAGCAACTGGCACTGTGCACTTGTAAGGCCCTTTACTAGGGCAGAACCTGTCTCTTACTGGAAGCAGCTTGGCAGTCCCACCAGCCCTGAGTCATTTGTTAAGTTCAGTTCTGCAGCAGCTAGATATTATTCTGTTTGTTTTTTGTTTTGTTTTGTTTTTAAATCTGAAGGCCCTAAAAAATTTTTAATCTGCTACGTTTTTTCCCTTCGGGCTGTTCCTCTAGGCACTTACTGATGTGGATGAGACGTATCGAAAACCTGTTCTGGGCAAGGCATACGAACGGGATTCTTCACTGACTCTTACTAGGGTAGGCAGTTTTTCTGGCTTACTGAATACCTAGCATGCTTCAGGGCCTATCCCAGGGACCTGCATTTCCAGAAGGAAGGCTCTATTGCTGAAAATAAGGATGGCCTGTTCCCAGTTCTTCACTCTTCTTTCTAATCATGCTTCCAGCATGAGGCCACAAATGCGTCTGTACATCTAATCTGCATGTTATCTAAGTAGCAGATGACCTCTTACAAGGCTTAAGTCTTCTGGCTTTAAAGCTACGGAAGTCAGCAGGTACCTTTTCTCTTGGCACATTTATTGATTTATCTGAGTTAAACCTTGAAATAGAAAACTCATTACTGAAGTTTTAAAATTGTGAAACAAGGAGACCACAGAGTATAAATTTAGGAACCTGGTCTTTTTCTGTGTGTCGAAAGAGGTATGTTGAACACTAAAGAGAAGGCTAATGTTTGGAATTGCATTTCCTTACAGCTCTTTGATCGGCTCAAGCTTCAAGATTCTTCCAAGAAGGAAGCAGATTCTAAATCTGCTGTTGAAGATTCTACTCTGTCCAGATACTCTCAGACATCCACTTGGAAGGTGGCTTCCGTGTGGGGCAGAGGAGACACTGATCGGGGATCACGCAAATGTTCCCGCTCCATCCCCTCTTCCCTGCAGGCATCTGGAAGGGAGGAGTCCAGGTCAGAGCTGTCAGGGAGGACAACACGGACAGAAGGGTCCAGTGCTGGAGGTACATTTTCAAGGGCTACTACCCTTTCTAGGGGCCAGCCCCATAAGAAAAAGCGAAAGCCCAAAGTGGATTACCAGCAGGTGTTCACTCGACACATAAATCAGATTTTCATTCGAGGAGAGAATGTCTTGCTTGTTCATCTTGCACAGTGACCAGCAAGCTCAGCCTCACTAGAGCTCTGGTTTTTAGAAATAAAATGCATGAATTGCTACTGTGCTGTATCCTAGTGTCCCACTGAGACTTGGAGCTGGAACTAGTCCTTCTGGTTCTGCATGTGCAGAGGACAGAGCCAGGTCCAGGCCCTCTGGGAGGTGAGCTCCCACGAGGAGGAGACAGGCCTTGGGAAGGTGTGTGGTGGCATTAATATCAAGGCAAAAGCATCAAATTTGGGTTTGTGGCAACTTCAGACACCCAAACCAAACCAAACCAAACCAAACAGAAGTTTTTCCATTTGAAGAAGGGGTTATGATGTGAATTGAATTCACTCTTCAGACTGTAGCATTAAAAACAACAAACAACAACCTCAAAACCAATGCCTCATTTCTTATTGCTGGTACTCCTGAATTTGATTCTGAAAGTAGCGATGTCAATTCCCTGGAGCTCTGCACGCATATCTCTTAACTGATCTTTGAATGTTGCTCCACACCATTCTCTCTTGATCAAGATATGGAATTTATTACCTTTGAATATCTGTAAGATCTAGAAAAGCTTCCACCTTCAGTAAGGGTGTAATTTAGAGAGATGGCCTGCTCAATGCAGCCTTCAATGAATGCTCTATTTTTATTCCTCTCCTGGAGGAGAGGGGCACAGGATCCCCCCTTGCCCTTAGCAGAGGTGGCCTCTGCAAATGGCATACCAGATGGGACAGTGGGACGCTTATATGGTGACTTTTCGTCCTTCTCTCTACCTTCTGTGGCATGGTGCTATTGCATGTTCTGTGTGGTATTGCCCCTGTAGTGTGTGAGCTGTCTTGTGAGCTTTATGGCAGGAGACTGTGATCCTTGAGTCTGGCTTCAAAGAGTTCTGCATGAACTCAGTACTGTACACATCACATGGCTGAGCATCCTGTTTTCAGGCAATGCTGGCCCTGTGTGGAGTATCTTTCCGAATAATTCTACCCTGAAGCACAGGTGGTAGTTTTATTCCCTTTATCAGGCCAAAGAGCTTCTTAGGTAGTACAGTGGGTGGTGTCTCAAGGGATTCTTGTCCTGCAGCATGGCTTGAGTATCAGGACCACCATAGAACCCACCAATGCTTCTACTTGAATCACATTTACTCTCGTTTAAAGATTACCAGTGCAGGATAGGTTCCACCTGGACACAGACTGTTAGGCAATATTGATTTTTGTTTTGTTTGTTTATGTTTCGTTTTATTTCAGATAACCTATGTTTAATGTGAAATAGCTAACTAGTTACAATATTTGAAAAGAAGAATTTGCCTTGCTGTATTTGTTATGTCATTTAGCTAAGCCTTCTGAGCAAAGCAGGGTGAGCTAGGTTTAGGGAGCTAGGCCTCCTGGTCCTTCTGCCAGGACCCTGGTGCCTGATACAATGAAAGATGAGCAGACTTAACCCCCCTGTGCCTCAGTTTTCTCCATTAGACACCTACCTCACAGGGAGATTGAGACAAAGGATTTCAGCAAAGCATTTAAAGGCTCTAAACATGTTTAAGTGCCGTGAATAATTTTTACTACTATTATTTCAGTGTTTTCTAAGAATTCTGTGTCTTATGAGCAAGGCAGGTGCTATACAAGAAAGTAATCTTCATAGGTGTCATCGGGAATCATTATGATCTTGTAAATAATCAGAAAGCAGGGCAATTAGAAACTATTTCCATATTCCATTCCTTCTTTCTAAGGGACAGAGTTCTCAGACTGTCTCACAACATCACTTTGCTACTCCTCCCACTTCCTAGTACCAACCTTTTTTGGTTCTTACCAGAAAGAACCCCCCCTGAACTTTTCTGAGAAGCTCTACATTTACAGGTAGTACCAAAGGGAAAATGAATGTCTGCAAATGACACATCTCCAAAGGAAATTATGCAGATGCTTCTTTTTCCTTTTTCTGTTTCTTTGTTTTTATTTTTAAATGCATTCTAAAATACGCTCATTAGAGCTAGATGCAATGCACTGAAGGTTTACTAGAGAAATTCCAGATTACAAACTTAAGTGAACACTGTTGGGGAGAACATGCCAATGTAAAGTCTCTTCTAACTAATGTACTTAAAATCTCAGTTCCCAAGTACTACTTGTCTTCTTTAATCATCAGGCAACCCTGCTTATACCTCTTTCCTAGTCTCTCCTATGTGGCCGTCCCCATCTGCCTGTAGTTCAGCTAGGGGTTAATATGAATACTATGTTCCTAATAATGTGGAAATTTGGAATCAAAGGGAATGTAATAAAATTTCATTGATTCTAATGCCTGATTAAATCTAACCTGATTAATTTTAAACATATGCTTATTTTAATGTTTGCACAAAATTTTTATATATTTCTGTAAGGAATAAAGTACTAATTTTCTGCCCAACTTGTCAATTCTAGCTATAAAAATAATTTTTTAATTGTGGGTGATTTGTTCCTGTATGTTTGATTTGGACAGTGATTCTGGAATCAATACTGTCTAGTAAATGTGTTCTTTTGTACAAAGCATGATAATTATTTTTTTAGAGAAGTTAATTTTTTTTTTAATTATTGACTTCATTATTGGAGAGTTTCTTTTGTTTTGTTTTGTTTGTATTTTGAGGAAGAAAAAAATAGGTTCAAATGATGTCTTTGCCGCTCAAAAATGTGATTATCTGTAACCATAAAAAGTTGCTATGGGGTAGCTGAAGGGAAAGGTAAAGTAATAGCCAGAATGAAAAAGCCTTGGAAGGCCCCCCACTCCTCACCTGAGGGGATCCTAAACAACTGAAATGCAGCAAAGATGGTTTTTAGTATCCTCTGGAGATTTGAGCATGGGAAATGTGGTAGAAATAGTACTTATCTTTGAACCTCCAGCTTCAGAGTAGTCTCTAGACATGGGGACATGTTTTCAAGAAAATTCACAGAACATGTCTGTGCATTATTGAGGTCGTCCCTGGAGTATCCAGCTTTGTTGGATAATAAAAAGTGATTAAGAAATGGAAGCTAGGGTTTCACACCTAGAGCAAATTTCATGTGCCATTCTTTGTACATAGGAGGTAACTGCTGCACCACCGTTAGGAGGATGTGCGCTTTAGGTTGCTTGTTCTAGCAGTAATGCTTCCTTTCCGGAACCGAATTATGGCTAGAGCTGGGTCATTTGTGAGAAGCTAAGAGTGAGCAGTATCTCAGACAGGTGGCTTTAGCTTTGCCTGTCAGTACCGTGCTCTCTCGGCTAGTGTGTGGCAAGTCAGAAAGCCTGGAAACCATTCACAGTAAGACCCTCCTGGTGAATTGGTCAGGAGCACTTTGAGAGACCCTTAGGTCATGAGCTGCTTTTAATCTTCAGACGCCTACTAGGTGTACTACTTCTACTACCCCTTGAGAAAAGAGGAAATAGAAACCTAACTTGATATGTAGAATGGATATTTATATTTCTATTTGTGTTATTTCTGTAGCAGCTGACCTGAACAAAATCATAAAATAGAATTCATTCTGTAAATTGCATTTTCACATTTTACCTTCAGAAGGAATATTAAAATTACTCAGACAGCTATCTGTCATTGGTGCTTCCCAAAGCTTCCTAGTCTTTTCTGCATTTTTTATTAAGGAAGTGGTTGCTGTGGGAAGGCCAAGGTTCATAGAAAGGTATCATGGCACTGTAGAATGGCTTCGCAAGTTTTCTTTTTCTTCTCATATGCTAAATATAGAATGCAATTGGCCCCCTTTCAGTAACTTACCTACATAAGTCTGCCTGTGTTTTTCTGGGCAGTAACTCCCAGAAGGCTTTGCTTAGTGGTTTTAAAAAAGAAAATCTTATCTGGGTCTGTGTTGCAAAGGTGGTGGTCTGTCCTTACTTTCTGGCAAATTGAGTTGATAGATTTAAGATAAGCCTCTGGGGTTCCTGTCAGTTTCCAGGGCTCTGAAAAGATCTGGGCCTCCTTTCCTCAGTGTTTTGAGTATTTTTCAAATGTTTGTAAGTTCTGTTGCACGCCTCTAATAAAAATGAAAGCTTTCTGTCAAGAAATAGTGTTGGATGGTTCTGGGATCTAGGGGAGAAAAGTACACCTGAGACCTTCAGTTGGTCCTTATTTATTTAGAATAAAAAGTAGTTTGATAAGCTACCAAAGTTAGTGCTTCGTTAAAAACACCCTCTTTGAAAAGATGGGAACTGTCCCTCAGGAAATCTACAAAAGCTATTCCCAATACGTTCAATTGCTTTTGATTTTTAGGACTCCTTTGGAGCAGATGTCTGATGTTCTATTTGATTTTTGTTTTTTTAAGCACTGTGAAAAAGTATTTGAAAAATTGTAAAAGGTATGATTTTAACTATTATTGTCTGGCTGAATTATGTGTTTTAGGGCAACTGTCCACTTCTTTTTCTGTTGTCCTGACAGTTAAGCAGAGGGTAATGATGTGTTAAAAAGTGATTTGTTTATTCCATACTGGCATCTGTTTGGCAACATTAGGGATACCTGTCTGCATTGTGGCTTATTCATGTTTTTGTAGACAAGGCTAAACCTGTATGACTCTATGTATTTACAGTTTTACTGTTCAGATCCCAGCTGCTAATAGAAAAACCATGATTTGTGATCGTTTCTTTCAAGGACTGCTAATTGTGAGTTTCATCTAAACACTTCCTGTTTAGGGAGGATTGCTGCTAGTAATGCAATGTTCTGCTTTAGATGTGTGTCATATGGGAGTCTGGAAACTAATAAATATTGTATTCACATACTGGCTACTTTGTCTCTGCTGATTTGGGGGGTGGTGAGGAGCAAAGGGGCAGAGAAGGGAATCTGTTACCAAGTGTCAGAAAGTTAAAACATCTGAGGCCTTATACCATTTTACCCTTATAACCAAGCATGTGCCTTTTCTTTACCAAAGGGTACCTAGATCACCAAACTAGAAAAAGAACATGGCCCACATGAATATCTCTTCTAAGTCCCAAGCAGTAGTAATTGCTCGGTGACTTTATTCCACCTAATAACTCTCCTGCATTAATTCAGTCTCTCATATTTGCTGAAATGACCATCG